CTTTTTTTTTTTTTTTTTTTTATTGGAATAGCATTTTCTTCTTCTTCTTCTTAAAGAGCCGGGTATTAGATTACCCCCATTCACCCTCTCAAAGCCAAGAACCGAAGGTTACCTTTATCAGAGAATTGAATATATGAATCAATCTTGGGTGGCGTGGGGCTCTTGTACTGCGTACTTTTGCTTCTCTCCTTCAAAATTTCTTCAATCTCCTTGTAATACGACATCTTAGCAGTGCCACTTCCCCTATCATGGTGCTTTGCCTTCTTGAACTCCTTGAGCAAGTTCCTCCATTTGTCAGTACACATAGTCGGAGAGCGATCAAAGCCCCTTTCCCTCATCTTAGCCGATATCTGCTCCCACAAATGCTTGTTGGATTTCGAGGTATTGAACAAACCATCCATCTCCCGGCGTAGGGCAATTAAGCTTCGAGTCTCATCCTGAACCCAGGTCTCCGCCCGCTTCTTCGGAGCCTTGACTTCATGATCCTCACCACTGCTATCGCCGAGCATCATTTGGTGCTGCTGATGAGTCGGCTGTGGCTGATGAGGTTGAATATGGTGGTCGCCATTGGAGGCGACCTCGATCATCATATCTCTGCTACCTTCTTCCTTGTAAATATCGATTGGGCGAGGCTTATCAGACAAGTACATAGTCTCTGGGTCAGGGGATTCCGTGAAATTTCTAAAAAGATGGGACTTCGTAGGGTGAGCGTGTGGAGAATCAAGCGAACGATGAGCCCACACCTTCAAATTTTCATTTCTCTTTCTCTCTCTCTTTCTCCTTTTATTATTATTTCTTTTTCCTCTTTTTCTTTCTGCGACTGCAAGTTCAGAGACTCCGTCCTTTTTTCCGCAGGTCAGTAAGTCCTGAGGGCTGAACCCAATGCAGAGAGAGGGAGAGAGAGAGAGAGACGAAGGTCGCGTGTGATGCCGGAGAAACAGGGAATAATTGTACGGATAAATTTGGAAAAATTGTGAATCTTTTTTACTCCTTTGGAATTTATGATTAAATTTTATTTGATAAATACGAATTTTTAAAACCTAGTTATTTTATTAGATGTAAATTTAAATTTTATATTTAATTGATAATATATTTTATATTTAAAAAATTAAATTTGTAATTCCAAGATTTCGTGAAATAGATATTAATTTCAAATTTAGAAACTCCAGCAATAAATTAACTTGGATTTATAATTCATATTTTATTTTAATTAAGGTAATTTATGAATCGAGATTTTAATTGGCGAGAATATCTAATGTAAACATGGTTAGACTTGTTCGAATTTCCTATCAAAATTTCTATAATAACTAAATTAAAAAAATTTAGAATTACTAAATTGAAGTCAACGCTCCAAGCATCTATTGTTTAAAATATATATGAATTATTTATTTGATTAATATATTTAAAGGAATTCGGTCCAATATCTGAAGACAAGTTTTGTAGTCGCAGACGGCCTAAAAGTTGGAAAACTTATAAACAATGGAAAAGGGGCCCAAGTCTGGTTTTCTTAGTCATAGGCTTAGCTCCTAAAGGTTCCCTCTTTTTCACTGGACCTG